TGAGACGAAGATAGGCAGAGGGAAAGGAAGAGTTGGACAATTTGAGGTTGAAGGACGAAGTACGAAGTACGCAGGCTGAAGGATGAAAGGCTATGCAGCAGCAGTGGCACTGAAAAGATGACATAGAGATAGATAGAGACGAGCGGGTGTTGAAATTGAATAGGGGGCAAAATCCTTGCAAAACGATGGCATGCAAAAAAAAAACAGCAAAAAAAAACAACGATGCGACGTTGTTTTTTGTGATTGCACTTGTTGTCGTTGTTGTTGTTGTAGCTGGCAATGCCTGATATCAAGTATACGACGAAGACGATGATGACGATGAAGATGAAGATGAAGATGAAGACGATGACGATGACGATGACTTTCTGTCTGTCTTTCCTCCAAACTGGGCGGCACGTTGATAAATTTATTGAAATTTTATTGAAACGAAACGATTTGACTGCACCAAACTGTAGTTTGAGGGGAGAAAATGAGGGCCAAACTGAACTGAACTGAAAAACTGAAACCGGTTCAAACAAATCGCTGGTAAAGTGGAAAATAAGTGCAAAATAAGAAAAGTAAGAAAAAACCAGCAAATATAAATGAATAGTATTTTAATCGGGAAAGTTTGATTGACTAGGTGATGCTCTATATATATATATATATATAGCTAGATCACATAGGAGCAATCTGTTGATATTTCTTCTAAATTGTTAATCGTTGGTGTTTCTAAATGAACTCTTTCTTTCTTGTCTTAAGTCAAATGAAGACAATCTTAAATACAAATAAATTTAAAGCAAAAGTTGCAAGGTCTAAAGCGAAGAAGAAGAAGCAGAAATTGCCGTGTGGCAATTAAACTTTTGCCATATTTTAAGTTCAACGAAAAACAAAAAAAAAAAACAATGCCAACCCTGACAAAGAAAGAATTCACTTAATTTTTAATTTTTGCTTGCTAAATTTATCTGTTGTTGTGTGTGTTGGAGTTTCTTGTTGGGTGTTTTTTTTTTTTGGGGTCCTTTGACTTTCAGCCGGACCAAGCTCAATTTAACCTTAGCTACAATAACAACAACAACAACAAAAACAACAACAACGACGACAATAGCATTAGGGCCAGTCGACGCTTCAATGCGTCTAAGGGAAAGAAAAGAAAAAAAAAACAGCCGCCGCAGTTGCTTTTTGCTCACATTTCGCATGCTATCTCACTCGCACTCTGCATCTGTCTCACTTCATTGTAAGCATGTAGAATACTTAAAGCGACTGTTACAGAGCCAAAGACTAAGACAACGCTAGTGATGAACAGCGAGGGAGTGAAAGAGAGAGAGTTGCTCCGGAACAAAATAAAAAAGGCCAAAAATTTAATTTGTGTTCAGTGGCCGTTGATGTTGTTGTTGTTGTTCTTCTTCTTCTTCTTGTTCTTGTTGTTATTGTTGCTGTTGTGCCATGCAGAAATTGCTACCCAATTACGTAATAAAATCTGACTGAAGTTGCTCTCTCTTATTATTTAATTTTTGTCTTCTCTTCGCATCGTTATTATTTTTTTTTTATTATTTTTTTGTTTTTTTTTGTTTTTGCTTTTGTTTTTTTATTTTTTGTGCCTTGCCAAGTTTTTGCGGGGTAGTTATTCTTAGTCGGCTTGTTGGCTGGATTAGTTGGTGCGGGGATGTTGGGTTTTTCTCTGTGTGTATGTGTGTTTTCGGGGCGGGGAGTGGGTCACAAACATTGCCCGCTTGGCGCTTATTATGAAATAATGCTGTAAAAACAAAACGCAACGGCGTCAAATCAACTTTGTATTTTGCTATGAGCAACATTTGCAGATAAAACACAAACACAAAATTGAATGCGCTCAAAAGTATGCCAGCGCGACGGGGTAATGCCCTGCAGCTCAATCCTAGATGAATTATATAGACTTGTGCCTTTATCCGTGAAACCGAGAGAGAGAGAGAGAGAGAGAGAGAGAGAGAGAGAGCGAGCGAGGCGTAAAGAAAGTTTTGAAATACTTGATCTACAAGGGCAATACGAACAACTGCTGCAAATTATCATAGCAATTTACTTACTCTCAAAACTACTGTAGACCCATTTTGGGTCAAATGTAATTACAGGGTAGAAATGTAACTACAAAAGGGAATCAAGAGGGGGCCATTAGAAGTGGGGCGTTTGAGGTGCCCCGGGGACATTGATGAGACCCACCATAGAGAGAATTGCTCTGATTCTGATTCCTTTTGTGCGTGTTTTTTTTTTATCAGTGAATGTTTGTGTGTGTGTGTGTGTGTGTGGGGGGGGTGGGGTGGGGTGTATGTGTGTGTGGGTGGGGTGTCTCCAGAGTTTCTTTTTAGGGGCACCAGTGGTGCCTGGACTGATCAAATTACCTACAGCACCACATTTTGCCACCTACACAAAATGAATGAAAAAAATAACATAAAATATAAAATATAAGTATATATATGTATATGTATGACTGTGTGTGTGGGCGGCTGTGTGTGTGTGTGTATGTGTGTATGTATGTAAATGTGTATTTGTATAGTGAAAAGTCAATTTTGGAGCGACAGCTGTAAAGCGGCAAAGCCTTAGTCACAGCACAGAAGCTGAGCGAAGGGCGTCAACAGAAGCATTGGTGGGACGGGGTGGGGCGTGGCCCCCACGGGCGTTGAGTGAGTGAATTTTTTTTTGCCAATTTATGAATCGACGAATTAAATTATGCGTGCAGTACATTAAAAAAAAATAGAGAAAAAAAAACAGAAACAGAAACAGAAACAACAACAAGAAAAGCACAACGAGGCATTTGAGATAAGAGCTGAACGGAGAAAGGGAGAGATTGCGAGTGGAAGAGAGAAGGATGCGAAGGACGCGAAGACGCTGGCAACGGATGATGGAAGAAATGATGCGTAAAACGAGCTAAGCAACAGATAACGATGAAAGCACAAAACAAAAGAGATTGAAAACAACAAATGCAAAAAAAAACACGCTGATTTCTTCACAAATCCGTTGTGCGAATTAACTTCGTGTCAAAGTTCGGCCAATAAAATGACCTGTGCTGAGAAATAAAAAGCCAACCAAAAAAAAAACCATGAGTAGAAACTCAAGAAAATTGAATTAATTACTTTTTAGTAATGATTACAAAACATTTAAGACAATAAAAATAGACGCAATGTGATTTGGGAATTTTGATCTCGATTTTACTGCCGCATAAATAACATCAAATTACGAGCAATTATTTGTTGTAGTATTTTGAATTTATCTTCAAGTGGTTTTAGTGTGAATTTGTATTGATCTGAAGTGATTGCGTCACTCTGGCATAAATTAAAAAGAAATCAGTGCCAAAGGCAAACATTCCAAACTGATTGGATATCAATGAAAATGACAATCTCGCTCCATAAAGTTTTAATTCTGTGCTGACAAGAACTGCAGAAAACTATGGGCATATTTACCCAATTAAGTGGGTGTTGCATCCGTTCTGGATTCGCTGCATATTTTTGATGTGCACCTAAACCACTCGCAGCGGAATCCCATTAAGCTAAAGTATTTCTGATATATCTAAATATCTACAGAAATGGTAAGCCGCAAACCGCAAACCGCAAAGCCGCGAACCAAAAACCTCAAACCACATGCTTTAAAAATGTTGGCGGCAATGTTTTTTTTTTGTTTTTTTTTTTTTCAAAATAAAACGTATACGCCGTGTACTTCAGTGAATACAATGCGAGCACTTGAGCACTTAAGCAGCTGAGCACTTGAAGACTTCAATGTTGGAGCAGTCTCATTATAAACACTCAAAGCGTTTACGTTTTCATTGTCTTCATTTGTCAGAATACAGCAGCAGCTACAACAACAATAACTACAAAAAATAACAGCAGCGAAAAAGAAATAAATAAAATGTAAGAATAAAGAGAAACGAGAAACTCAAACGAAAATTATATGAATTTTGTGTTTATATGCAATGGCCAAAAACCAATGTGCAATCTTCTGATGTGCCCTGTGTCTGTGCCTGTGTGTTTCTGTGTGTGTTTGTGTGTGTGTTTGTGTGTGTGTTTGTGTGTGTGTTTGTGTGTGTGTCAGGCAATAATCATAAAAACCGTCAAAAACGGTTTTTCTTTTGCTGCCAAAAGTGGCTGCCGCTTGCCGCACAAATATTGCGGCAATAATACGAAAGCACCCAAAAGCAGCACTGAGTACCCTATGTGAGTGTATTCACTCCTCTGCCTCTGCACTCAAAGCTGAAACACTGAATCAGTTGCTGATTGTGGCAACTGCTGTTGCTGCTGTGAGCTTCTCTTGAGTTGCTACCAGCGACTACACTCGAAAAAAAAAACTATATTCGCAATAGAATTTACAAAAGTGCCCCAAAAAAAAACAACAATAAATATCTGAAGTATTATTTTGGAATATTGTTTTATTTTTCCGGCAAAATTTCTATGCAAAAATAACAATGAATAGATTTTGTTTGCCTTAGTTTTTTTGAAAAATATAAATATTTACTTTGATGTTGGTTTTTTGTTGAGCATAACTTTTTTCCTTGAGTGCAGCAGCTACTTGGTTTGAGCTTGCGATTATTTTGCCATTATTTTCCATTATTTTACTTTATTTCAATGACTGTTTACATTAGGCACACACTCGCGCACACACACACACAGCACACACACACAGGCAATGCAGCCAAATAAAAAAAAGTACTGCATACTTCTAAGCGCGCCCAAAACTGCTGCCAGTCTCTATATGTTTGTGTGTGTGTGTGTGTGTGTGTGTGTGTGTGTCTGTATGCCACTTCACTTTGCTTATTGAACTGGGCACACAGTGAAGCAGCTACAACAACCACAAGTTGAACAACTTGAACAACAACAAGGCACATTCGCAGTCGATTCTTTGATTTCGTAATACATTTGCTTGGGTTTTTTTTTGTCCCCTGGGTGCCAACCCCCACACGCCCACACTTGGGAGCTGGTTACTTGTTATGCATTGTAAAGTTGTTCGCTTCCTTTGACTGCTTACTAACTGATTCCCCCACTCAATCTTGCCCACTCTCTTTGCAGGCCGAGATCTGGAGCGTGTTTATTGCGATTCTGCGGAAGAGCGTTCGCAATCTTCAGGCCTGCACAGATGTTGGACTCATCGAGCATGTCCTTGTGCGTCTGCAGCGCTCCGAAACCGTTGTGGCAGGTAAGTTACAATTTATGAACAAGTTAAATATATTTCAATAACTTATATCAAACATTTCATTTGTTCGATTTAAATATGTACCCCATTTAACGAGTAGAATGGGAAAATTCAATGTGAAAGCCTAGTAAAATACAATGATTCCATTTAGATGAATAATTTTAGCCTGAATCCATTAAAACAAGTGTAAGAAATGCATATAATAGGCAGCTTCTCCAACCTACTAAAATAATATATATATATATATGTTAAAATATATGTATATTTATTTATCAGTGTATCTACATTAAGTCTGTATGAACATGCGCTATAATAACTAGGGATTTCAAGTTTGGAATCAACTTTCTTTTTCATTTTATCAACAACAACCCATGTTTCGCGATTAATGACACATATCGATTTCCGATAGCAATAAAAGCCACAATTTTAGAGGCAAGACATCTTAATACATTATTGCATAGCTGCACTCAAGTTATAGTCCATAGTTCATAGTCCAGTATCTGTGCCTGTCATAAGATATCAGAGCAATTCCACAACTGCCTACATTTCTACAAAGCTGTAAAAAAACTTCTTAAACAAACATTTGGCAATAAAACTAGAATATTTTGAATAGCTGGGATACAGGCGAGCTAACTCGACTATAGTACTCGAACTAGTTTGATTACAAACTATTCATGAAATGAGAGTCATAAAACAAATGTCTTTAACCATTATTACAAATATTCGAAGGCTCAGCTGTAGGGATAACGAAAATCTATTCAAGACAAACAATGGCAGAGTTCATTCAACACAAAAGCCTAATTAGCATCAAAGCAGATAATAAAATCTAACAAATAATAATGGATGCCAATGACGCGTAATGGATTAGGTTAAAATGGCCGTGGAAGACAACATAAAAAGCAAATAAGACGTGGTGAAAAGATATAATCAATTCACTGATTACTTACATTAAAAAGGATTTGCTTGCTTATTAAGCAAACTTAAAGAAAAACATAGAAAATAGTGTGACAAAATTGAAATTAAAAAAGTTAAGCAAACAAGATTTATGTAGATATTCAATTATACAAGAGTAAATAATGTGACTTTCTAACTATGTAATAATGTAGTAAATGACAATGAGAAATCCAGGGATGACAAGTGTGCTTACCAGATATGGTCATCAGCCGAAAATAGACATGTGCGAGGAGAATGAATGAATGACTAACTGAAGTGCTTACCACAGTGACGCAGCAAAGCCCAACAAACCCAACAGATAGCCATGAAGTTGTGCAAGAAAATTAGAAGAAAAAAATGTGAGTGGGACAAAAAGCTGGTCAGTCTTCGTTTTGCTTATGGCAATGATTCAGCCGGACTTGTTACAGTCATATATATGTATATATACTCGTATATCTATATGAGACTGCGACAAGTCCGACTGAATACATATAAATATGTATATAATACATAAATATACAACGGCGGTCAAAATTATCGTAGTTCACACATACGTTTAGGAAAATGTTAAAAGAAAATAGTTAATATATAGCTAAAAAATTATGAAAATTGTATTCAAACACAATCAATCAATACTGAAGATAAGTATACATTAAAAGTTGGCATAGCTATAAAACTTATTTTAGACACAAGTTGAAGTCCTTAAATTAATTATTATTATTAAATTATCATTGAAATTTATCATTATAATAGTAGTGTACTTAACGTTAAGTTTTCTCAGCTTACCCTTTGGCTAAACACTGCTTATGATGGATAGTTATATGTTATTAAGATTAGTAATTGGAAAATAATAGTATTTTAATAGATCTGAATTTAATCACCATCAAATGAGTAATATTTTTAGTAAATGCTTTGAGAAACAGCGCTATTATTTTAAACGCAAGTGTATATATATGTATATATATATATATATAGATATATATGGACTTAGCTTTAGCTATTTTGTAATGCCTGCCCTGTGTCCAACAACGACAACAGCAAGCAAATCGCGACTGCTCCCCGCCGAATTGCTTTTCGATTAATTTCACGCTTGTCAGCGGCCGTGATACGCCCAGTGGTCCGCACAAGTATCCCCCACTCCCCCCACCACCCCCATCTCGCTGAAACACCCCTCCCCGCTAACTTGTTGTTCATGCCTAGGCACATCCCTCATGTATGCTAAGCATTCTTTTGACTGCCAACATTGCGCATTTATTTTCCGATTGCCGTTCTCTTTTTGGCAAACAGCGCATCAAATTTTCTCTTCATTAGTGACATTTTTCCTACCCCCCCTTTTGACCTCCAACCTCCAACTCCGTTCTACGTTTACTGTCCCTTCCCCTCCCTTGCACCCTTGCTGTCATCTGACAGAGCCACAAGCGTGTGTGTGCCTTCGGCTTTGATTTTGATTTTATTAAGTCAATGACACATCTGCGGTCTGGCAACCCTCCAGCTACCAGCATCCCTATGCTCTCCCTTCCCCTCCTCCCCTCCTCTCCCCTCCACTCTTCACTCTCAGCTTACCCCTAAGCGAATCGCCCAACCCCTCAGTGAGCGGCAGGGCCCAACCCCCTCTTTAGTTGGCATTTAACGAACTGTAACTGCTGTCAATTTGCAGTCGCTGACTTTTGAGCCTCGTCGCTCAAGCCATAATTTCATATGTACGTGTCTGTGTGTGTGTGTGTGTGTCTGTGTGTGTCTGTGTGTATGTGTCCGTGTGTGTGTGTGTCTGTGTGTGTGTGTGCGTGTGTGTCACCTGACAAATGTCGAAACGTGACACTTGCTAAGAAATTAGATAAGGCTAAAAGTTGTGTCTGTGTCTGTGTCTGCGGCAAACGACAGATGGAAAACTCAGATGAGACTGTCTTTTTCTTTTCTTTTCTTTTTTTCTCTTCTTCTTCTACTTCTTCTCGGAAAAAAAAACGAATTGTGAAAACTTTACGATTAACTTGCCTGGGTTTTAACCCAACTCTAACATAACTTTTCATTTAATTAGTCTTAAGAGTCTGTAATTGGTTGGTAAGAAATTAGTGCATTTTATTGGAAATTAATTGGCTTGAAAAATTCATTCATCGTTGGAAAATATCTATAATTTTTTCATTTGATTTCTTCCATGCAAGAGGGACTTGAATTTTCCGAAAAGGCTGCTCAACAAGCTCGAAAAAAAGTTCTGTATACATGAACTTCTGTAAGATGGAAGGAGACACAGCATTTATGAGAAATGAACATTTAGGATTTTAATTAAAATTTATTAAAATTCTAATTAGCCAGCAAACAAAATCGAATTCTTGGAAATCAAAAAAAGCGTTTTCGGGAACTGTTTCAACGATTGATTTAAAACGTTTTTAACTGCCAACGATCCAACCTATGACTTTTAAGGCTTAAGTAAACTGAAATCAATTATTGTTATTATATATATACATAATTGAATATGTATATAATATAGGTTATATTTGATTCGCAAGTCGTTGCTTAAATAGGTCTTCGAAATGAAACAGTACCTTTGACCGGGGCAAGTGGGCCGGGCAAATGTTGTATATCTTTTAGGGGAAGTTTTGTTGAGGACATAAAAAAAGCTGTCAAAGTTGCTAGCACTTTGGCTTTTTATGAGCTGCAAAAGATGCGAAGATATGCAAAGGCAGTTAAATTTTGTCAGACTGAGGCGACGGGCCAGGCCAGATAGACAGTTAGACAACTCGACAGATAGACAGCGAGGCAGACAGATAGACAGGCAGACAGTTAAAGAACGCCAACTCCCGCTGTGGCACGGTCTGTGGCATTGTCATTGCGCTCTAAGCAATTGCAACAGACGTCGTACATGGATGCTGCTGATGCCACGCGGACCGAAGACTGGGTGAAAAAGATGTGTGTAATTAAAAGCTTGATACCCGAGGCGGTGGTGCAGACGGGGCGGAGACGGGGCGGGGGTGACAGCGTCAACTTGGGGCCAATGGGGCAACATTGTCGTCCCGGGACTTCAACGTTGCGGTTGAACGCGATGGGCGGCGATATGGGCGGAGTTGCCACTGAGTGCACTCAGAAAAAAAACATACGCCCAATAAATAACCAAAAAAATTGATTAATATTTTAGTCAAATTTAGAAAATATTTACAAAATTCAATTTAATTCAAAGAAAATGAACATAGAAGTGTAAGAAAGATAAACTGCGATTTTAGATAGGACTGAACTTAGTCAACTTTTTGTTTTTTTTGTGAGTGTAGGCGGCATGACAGCTGCGACGGTTGATGTTACTCAATTTCTTAATTTACGCAACCCGAAACGTGTTGATGGAGGCGCAACTGGAAACTGTGTAACTGTGGAGCTGTGCGTCTGTGGAACTGTACAGAGCTGAGGAGCTGTGTGTGTGGGTGAAGAAGCTGTCGCAACTTTGGCAAACAGTTGCCGTCGCAGCTCCTTTGGGCAAAGGCCCCAGCCCCGGCAAACACAGTCCAGGCATTAAAACGGCCCGTGCGTCCCATTTCAATTAGTGTGCATTACAAATGAAGTTTGGGAATAGCGCAACAGCAGCCCGAGTACAAGGCTATCCCAAGTTGAGCAGTGAGAATGTCTGGCAACGCCGCACAATTGCAATATATTTAATCAACTGCCATATATATATATATATGTGTTATATATCGCATTCAATGACAATTCGAATTCAATTTCCAGCTCGCTTCACGAGTTGACCTTGATGAGCACACCTCTTCCTCTTGCTGCTGCCACGCCCAGCTGCTATAATTTTTTCTGTTCGGCTTAAGAGCGTTCTTGCCACTTCGCTGCACGCGCTCAGCTTGCAGTTAACATTTTTTTTTATTTCTGTTTTATTTTTCTTTAATTTGTCGGTCTGCACTGCGAATAAATAAGTTGGGCAAACTTTGGTAAAATTGATTTGGAAATTAAGTGAAAGTAAAGCTGAAATTGAAGCTAAAATTCTAGTTGAAAAGCAATCAAAGTTTTTTTTTATTAGAGATTAATATGTATCAACTTACAAGTTGGTCATGAAAGCCACTGCGTATACTTGATAGTCTTCATACAGAATTAGAGAGGGAGTTTATACTGTAGTTAAGCTTTTAGCTCCAGCACTAAATGTTAAGCCTCCTGAATGTTGCGAGACTTGCATTTGTTTTCCTGTGCCTTATAAAGAATTCAAATAAAAAAAATATAACAAAATTGCCTAAGCTTGGGATTTCAGCAGTCTGAAAACCAAATATTTGTATTTTGTTAATTTCGATCGGTTCCTTTTTATACCTATTAAACATGCCACATACATATATAACACCATCTCTGTCTCGCTCTCACTTTCTCATCGTGTACCTGTTTTTCTTTTTCTTTTTTTGTGTTGCAGACTTGCTCATCGAGATGTTGGGCGTTTTGGCGAGCTACAGCATAACGGTTAAGGAGCTGAAACTGCTCTTTGGCACGATGAAGGCCAACAATGGCAAATGGCCGCGTCATTCGGCCAAATTGTTGAATGTGTTGCGACAAATGCCGCATCGCAATGGGCCCGATGTGTTCTTCAGTTTTCCAGGCCGCAAGGGATCGGTAAGTCCTCCTCCTCGTACTGTATACCATATACCATGTACCACTATATATCTAATGATAATAAACAACCGACAACAATCACCCATTGTTATATACCCTGTGCCCATTAAGACGATATTATCAAAGGGGAGTAAGCAGCGTCATCAGGAATCGAGTCAATAAAGGCTTGACTATGATCCCTATTCATTTGATCGAAGCTTTCATGCAGATAACAAATATCGATCAATATCGATAGCAGATAACCGTCTCTTTTTGAAAGAATCATAGACTCTCTCTAATTGTTTATCACTTTTGTTGCATGCTCATCGTTGACGATTGTCCGTTTCCGATAAGATCCGAAAGTGGACTAGTTGCTCATATTTTAGACTTGATTACAGGGCATCTATGCGTTGGTCACTATCGAGTGTTTAGGCTTTGGTCAAGTTGCAAGTTGTCGTTAAGTGTCCACTGCCCCACTCTTTTCTGTTGACCCCTAGCCGCCTAGCTCAAATATGCAACTACACTTGGAGCTAGACTCCATCCTCCATCCCCCATTTTGCTGTAGAGGAGGAAGCTGGGTTATTGGGGATTGGGGCTTGGGACTTGGGCTTTTATTTTATTGCGTCGCACTTAAATCGAATTCGTAATGTGCGCTGTTCGTGTGGCACATGCCACAGGACATGAACTGCCCCTAGCTGCTGTCTCAGCTTGCACAGCTATCCCCGCCTGCCCACACATGCACACACACACACACAAAGTAGGTGAGGGTGGTGTGTGCTATCTGTATATAGCATAAACACATAAAAAGTGCCATAAAGCGAATTGGAAGTCAAATGCGACATGAAACGATCCGATACCAAAGCGAAATGAAATGAAATGAAATGAAACGGGACACACTCGCAGACGCAATTGTCACAAAATGTTCAATAAACAGGACATGTTACTATCGCAGCTCCCAAACATGCCATGTCTTCAAAAACCCCACCCCACCCCACCCCAACCTTAGCACTTGGTCATTTGCAACGATTCTATTCGTGTCCTGTTCTATTTTGTTCTGTTCTGTTCTGCTTTTTATTATTATTATTTTTTTTCGTTTTTAATTTTCATTTAGCTCACTTTTAGGTTTCCAATTTCAGTGAGGTCCAGACCCGTAGCTACTATTTGGTGTCAACCCCTAAGGCTGCTAGGGTTGCATCCCCTATATAAAAGCATCTGCTTTTGCCTTGCACTAATGAGTTCCCTTTGAATCCAGGGCCAGCCAGCTTCAGTTACTGACGGGCAACAGGCAACTAGCAACTAGCAACTGGCAACTGGCAACTGGCAACTGGCAACTGGTACTCCAATTTTGCAAGGTTGCATGTTTCGGCATTTCTGCCCCTAACCAAACAGTTTCTCCAGGCCAGCCAGACCAACAACCCCCTTTGTGCTGGGACCGAATCACTTGACAATTTTAACATACAAACAGACAGAGAGAAAGAGGGATAAGTGAGCGGGGAAGAGTGGCGATGGAGCGGACATTAACAGAGACAGACTAGATAGATAGAGAGAGAGAGAGAGAGAGGGAGAGAGAGATAGGGAGGCAACAAAGTTAAGTCATGTGGCATGCCACAGGCTCCGACATTGTTGCACTGTTGCACAATTGAATGAGGCCTCAAGACAACGTCCGATGCCACACGACGATACTCATTCTGCATACAAATGAATGTGAACGCGATTGCGAATACGAATGTGAATGTGAATGCGAATCTTGTTGCCGACACGAATACGTATAAATTATAAGTAAATGAATGTTTTGAAAGTGTAAATGAGTGTGTATGAGTGTTGAGTGGTGGCTGCTAGATGCTGTGTGCCTGATTCAAATTGGATGTGAATGCTTTGAATGCAAAAGCAATTCTGAGTGCATTACAGCTATTCAAATGTTATCTGTCCATATATGCAATAAGCTTTTGCTGCATGAGCTGCAACTGGTTTTATTTTATTAAGCATTTATTTTATTATGTATTGAAAGGGTCTCTATTTGATCACCATAAAATGAGTCATATTTTTATGAAATGCTTTTAGAAGCAGTTCTACTATTATTTTAACCGCAACCATATATTTTGGTTCAAGATCGATCTATCCAGAGACTCTTAGAGACTAGAAGAGCTTTGGACTTCTAATTTGGAATATAACCGATGGCAACATAAGAGATAGATATATACAGATATAGATAGCTAAAATTGGATTTGTTACCAATCGAGAATAAATCAAAGCCCACAAAGAAGAAAGGACGACTTCAAATGAGAATTTCGTATCTGTTTAACTTTCATTTGCATACTCCCTCTCCCTTTCTCCCTCTCCCTTTCTCTCTCTTTCTCTGTCTCCCTCTCTGTCGCCAATTTAAAATTGTTGCGATTAAATTACTTGATTCACACGCATTTGAAAATTGAATGTTTTAGATACAAAAGCAGAGAGATAATCAAACGGATGCGAATTTGTGGTTAAGCGAAACATTTCATAGGGTTTGTGGTGTGCCGGGTGCGGGAAGCTGGTAGCGGTAATATGGGTAACTATATATAACAGGATAACTGTGTGGTGTTCGGTTATATAAACATGATAAGAACATAAATTACGAGCATTGAAAGGCAAATAAATTTATGAACTAAAAGTAAACACGCAGCTGCAGTTAGTAGTATATGTGTATGTGTATGCGTGTGTGTGTGGGTGTGTGTGTGTGTTTGTGTAGTGGAAACTCTGACCATCCGCTCTGTTCGGCCGTAAAGCCACAAAATTCATGATAAATCAAAATGGGCTCATTTCCTTTTAATTTTCACTTCATTTCTGCTTTCGGCATTTCAGACTCAGTTTCTGCGGCTTTTTGCCTTTCTGCAATTGGCATATTTCGAGAGCGTCTGCTTCAAAGTTGTTGCTACTTTCTGTTGTTGTTGTTGTTGTTGTTGTTACTGTGTGCCACAAGTAGCAATATGAATGCTCAAATCCTCTGGCCCAACCCACCCAATAATTCCCATCGGAAGCCCCAATGTTGTTGCTCAAAGAGAAAATAACTTTACAGTCAAAAAGTTTCAGACTGCAAAATACTCTGTTTATTTGCATTTCTTTCTTTTCTGAATACCAATTAAGAGTCACACAGTCTTCCATTAATAATTGATGTAAGATGTAAGCCAAGAGTTATCAATTTTTGGATAGGTTGGATAGGCTACATTTTGTATTAAAACCAATCGACACTTTTATGCGAACAGTGTACAAATATATTCAAAAGTTTGATTTATGTACTGTTCAGTTTTGGTTTGGGTTTTGGTTTTGAGTTTTGTATCGTTTTTGCTTTTGGGTCCTCAGTTCTTGCTGCTGAAACGGCTGAAGTGCTTCAAGTTGTGTGGCCTTTGACTTGCTGACTTTTGTAGCAAAGTGTGTTGCATGCCCCACTGAGGGGAGAAGTGAATGATGTTGGATGGACCGACGGATGTCTGAACGTGGTCAGTGCTTTTTGTGACCGGCTTAAATGTGTATTATGTGGTTCACTTGACCAATACCTGCTGCTAATTGACATTTAACAAGCTGACACTATGTGGGTGGACTCTTATTTTCGCACATGCTCCCCCCTCCCCACTCTCTCTCTCTCTGGTTACCACCATGTGGCTGCAACTAATTGTGCCACATTTGCGTCGAACTGATTTCCAAACATTGATTCTTCTTCTTTCCGCATTCCACAGGCAATGGTTTTGCCACCGTTGGCCAAATGGCCCTACGAAAATGGATTTACCTTTACCACCTGGTTTCGATTGGATCCAATTAACTCGGTGAACATTGAACGAGAGAAACCCTATCTCTACTGGTAAGTGCCACCCACCAAAAAATATAAATACAGTTCTTCAGTACGCATCCTGTTGATCTGCAACTAATTGGCAAACACACTAATTGCTCACATACATTTCTTCTACCTGCTTACAGCTTCAAGACATCGAAGGGCGTTGGGTATACTGCCCACTTTGTGGGCAACTGTCTCGTCCTCACATCCATGAAGGTCAAGGGCAAGGGCTTTCAGCATTGTGTCAAATATGAATTCCAGCCACGCAAGGTAAGTCTACTCCCCATCCAGACCAGTCATTACACCTGTGAGTTACGATCCATTATAGTCTTTGGGACCCTCCCACTCTGCTCCGTCTGTGGAACACTTCACTTGGCATACCCTCTTTCAATTTATGGGCGTGTGATTTGGGTGCTGCCAAAGTTTAATTAACAGCACATTGAATGGGTAGCAACAACGGCTAATTACCTGCCCAAGCCAATTGAATTTAGTTTGGCGACGAAAATTAACTATTTATACGAAATTATACAAAGGGTGGCTTACGGCATATATATACATAACTAATAAGGGATGAAGCTTCTCGAATACCGTACAGCCTCGGTCAAAATAATAGTAGTGCAAGCATATGTGTTGGAAAATGTTAAAAGAAAAAGAAATTATGAAAATTGGAGTTAAGCACACGCAATCAATACTGAAAAGAAAAGTAAATATTACAAGTTGGCAGCGTAATAAAATTAATTAACAACAGCAAATTAAAGTTTTTAAATTTATTATTCTTACAATTATTTTAGATTAGTAATTGGAAATGAATTGTATTTTAAAACATTCTCAGATGAGAAAAAATGATTTTTTGTTTTGCCGAATTGCATGAGTCGTATTTATATTAAATGCTTCGAGAAGCAGCACTACTATTTTGACCGCAACTGTATAAATATCTCTCCCCCTCATAAATTCAATTAAAGAGTAGAAAATGTTAATCTTGGTGCAAGTATAGTAAGCATATTGCTCCTAAGTTTAGGAGTTTTACGAGTCAATGCCAACAAATATTTAATTACTGAAACGGGCTTTAAGCGATTTAATTGCGGCAGAATTCTTGAGGGAATTTCAATCGAGAATTCTGCTCCGAAATTGAATTAGCAATCAGCAGAATTTACATTTAAAAATGCGTTCAGTTTTGGAGAAAATGATGACAATGCAAAGTTGGAATTAAATGCAAAACTAATCCAATATATCTGTGTGTTTTTTTTATTATTTTCGCAGTGGTATATGATAGCCATAGTGTATATATACAATCGTTGGACAAAAAGCGAAATCAAGTGCCTCGTAAATGGACAACTGGCGTCGTCAACCGAAATGGCCTGGTTTGTTTCCACAAACGATGTGAGTAGCGATGAGCTCAACTCGGTTATCTGCCTTATTAACTAACATTATATCTCCATCTCTATGTCTCTTTCTACCTCTCTCTCTCTCTTTTTAGCCCTTTGACAAGTGCTACATTGGCGCCACGCCCGAACTGGATGAGGAGCGCGTCTTTTGTGGCCAAATGTCGGCAATATATTTATTCAGCGAGGCGCTGACAACACAACAAATATGCGCCATGCACCGTTTGGGGCCCGGCTACAAGGTAAGTGCAACTTTGTGCCACTGTGCCAAGCCAGCAACAGCAGCAGCTTTTAACCACCTGTACCACATTGTACCACTGTGCCACTGTGGCTGCACCACGCTAAACAATTTACACTGCAGCAGCAGCACATTTGTCCTTTGTCCCCCCGCCGCCCCCCTTTTTGGGGCAAGTTGTGCACTCAGCAAAACAAAAAAAACGCACTGTTCTAAATTTCAATAAGACCGAAATCTAGTTTCTACCTTCAAATTTATGATAAAATTCTTTAGTTCTTGAGTAAAAATTCGTAAAGTAAAATATTGAAGAATATAAATTTTTCGAGCTGAACAGCTGTGACTTTATTTTTCTGAGTGTATGTGCAGCAAGAATTACATATGTATTTTTGTTAACTATTTTCTTTTTTTTTTCCTGTGCGCTCTTTCTTTCTCTTTCTCTCTCTCTCTCTCTCTCTCTCTCTCTTTTTCTCTTTGTCTCTTTCTCTCTTTTTGTCTAAATGCGCTGCACTGAACATTGCACCATCAAACAACAACAACGACAATAACAATAATAACAACGATGTGTCTGTATGTTGTTCCTTTAACAAACACACACACACACACACACACCTGCAATGACAACTCACACACACACACACACACACGCATTCACGCATACAGTCGCAATTCCGTTTCGATAACGAGTGCTATCTGAATCTGCCGGACAATCACAAACGGGTGAGTCACTTTCAACTAACAGCCAGTTTGGGTGGTGCCAGCATTGGCGATGCTGTCAATAGCAGCAGCAGCAGCATCAGCAATAGTGGCAACAACAGCAGCAACCATCAGCAGCAACTGTTGCAGCTGCAATTTCAAACGCTCGCCGCCGAGCAGGAAGCACGTGCAATTGATTGGTCCGATGAGCGTTTAGATTTGAATGCCGCTTTTGTCAAGATACGAGCGGTGCTGACGGCACGCAATGCGGTTGCATTGGCAACACTAACGGGTGGTGCCCTTGCAACAGCCACAGCAGCAGCAACAACAACAACATCAGCAGCAGCAGCAGCAGCAGCAGCACCAACAAGTGCAACAACAGCAACAGCGGCCACAAACACGCCCAGCACGCCCAGCGATAATAATCAAAGCGGCAACAGCGAACAGCAGCAGCAACAGTTGCCACTGTCACAGCAACAACAACAATCGAGCCACAACCACAACAGCAACACTGCGGATGATCCGCTTGGCCATTTGCCCACTGGAAATGCTTCTTTTGGTATTTATTGTTTTTAATTTCTCTTGTTTTTTGTTTTGCTTTCGATTCTTATCGTTTTTATCGTTTGTCGCTTTGAATTTCAATCGATCGATTTTGATTGGGGCACGATGCAGACCAGCTGCGTCGCATGTCCAGTGTGAACAGCCTGACATCGATGGGCGTGGCCGCCACCTCCGCAATTACGGGCGACACTGAGGAAATCAACCAGCTAAAAGCTGTAAGCAATTTTTTTGTTATGTTTTCCTTTTTTTGCTCCTTACTGAATAGTCTGTAAACTAAATTTTTTTAAGTATTTTTTTTTTTGTTGCTTTTATTATTGAATTTTGTTTTATTATTTTTCTATTACTATTTTATTTGTATTTATTTATAAATTTATTATTTTTTTTAACTTTTAACACACTTTTGATCACAATTAATTTGTCTTCTATATTTGTATTAAATTTTAAATTTATAAGCATACAATTAAGTTGATGTTATGTTTTCAACTTGAATATTGTATTTTTAATGCACATCGTTGGATACTTTTTGTTATTATATATTTTTTTTTTAAATAATTTTGTTTCATATATTTTCAAAAATTGTGTAAGTTATCAATAACTACCCATGCATATAAAGCCAGTCTAGCAAAACTTTTGTCAGTTCAACGACCTCGTAAGTTAACAAAGGAGCACAACAACACTACACCCCTTTCCCCCTTCCAACTTCCACCATCCAATGCTCCACAGCCCAGACCATCCAACATTTGTTACCATTGCTCTGTTGTGCATTGTGCGCGACGCCAATTAAAAAGGTAGCAAAGTCTCCAATGTTGAAGGTCTTGCAAATCCGCAAGCCAATCTCATCAAATCGAATCAAATCGCAACGAATCGCTTTGAATGCGCACAAATTAACACCCCCTCCCATACCCTGCCCTCCTCAACCAACATTCAATGGCCAACAACAAGCAAGACTTCAAAGCCAATCAAAATGTTCCCATTCATTGAAGCGCAGCATGCGCTGCTCTATTGAATTTTCCAACCACAATGATCCCCGCCAAAGCCCAACCATAAAATCAGCTCCACACCACACACAGCGCTTTCTTGCGTAATTATGAAAATGTTTGTAAATTTGTGTAGATTTTTAAAGTGCGCCCACCTTTAAGAGCTGTTCATTTTAAAGTGAATATGGGAATTTGGGAATAGGGGTGGGCTACGGGGATTGAGACGGATTGGGGGGGAGGGGAGGCTTGCTCTACTCCGAGTTGTGTTGGAAACAATGCGGTATGCGAGCCTTAGAAATAAATGTTGCATACTTTGCAGCACACCTGAAATCAGACGCAAGACAAAGCCAGAGGCAAATGTAGAACTCCGAGCCTGTTTTCCTCAGGCATCTTGTAGTCATGTTTCTTTATTTTTTCATTATTCTGATGATGTCTTTAGCCCTCCCCCCACCCTCTCTGTGATTTCATAAAAATCCATGCAGCGTGCTTCATACACAACTTTATATTATATATACATATATATATATATATATTTATATATATGTACAGACATGGTTTTGGTTAGTAAAATGAAGAGGCTGCCTGCATTTCAGCATTTCAGCATTTCATATTGTTTTCACTTCGTACAGTTCCAGTTCCAGTTCCAGTTACTTGCGTGCACTCGCACTTTTACTCTTATTATTGTTTTACGACATATGCATTTATTGTGAATGTGGCACATGTGAATCAGAGAATGAGAAGTGCATTAGTTTTAAAAGTTATTTGATGTCGCTGCAGTTTTGCGACAACCAAACCAAAAATTAAGCTTACAAAAATAGGTCAAGCTGTGAATGTGGCTTCCACAAGAAAATGTATTCATTCAAATGGGTGCACAGAAAAGTGCTTTGGCCATTTTAGCTTTCAGGTTATTATTTGAAACTCCCCAATTCCAAGTCCAATGTTTTACAATACATTTTTGAACCCATTAAAAATCTGTAAAATGTAGAATAGGCTTAATGAAGTTGTGCAAATATAGGTGAGATATATATGTATATATATATACCCATGTCTTGATCTGAATCAAAAGTTGAGTCGATTTCCGTCTGTGTCTCTGTCTGAGAAACTACAAGTCGGGCTCTCTCTCGACTAGAGTTTTTTTTTATCTTTTTAATATATATACAAGTATCCATTATTATTATGTAAATTAATTATTTTGTTACTTGGTTTCCTAACTCACTAAAAGTTTTAAGTTTGAGATATTTTTGGTATTGGTAGATTTATATAAAATTGCTTATTGGTATCCTCCTTTTTTCTAATTTAAATATGAAATTAATTTAAATAATTTATATTTATTGATTATATATAATAACTATTAACCTTAATTATGAATAGCACTGGCTACTATTCAGATAATAAAGCACACAACTCAGTCGCTAGCCCCGGATTCAAAACACAACGATTTTTTCAAGCAAACTTGCTCGGTTTAATAACAACCCTTTTTTTTTAAATCGTGCTTCTTATGTTAAAATATTTTAATTTTCTTGAAATTTGTGTATGTTTTTGCTTAATTTTTTTTTTTTTTTGTATAATTTTGTTTTGTTTGTTTTACTATTAAATAACGCAAAGAAGTATTTTTAGCAGCAAATTATGCAGCCAGCGATTACACACGCACCAGCTTGCAACACAGACACACACACACAATAACAAACACATACATATACGAGTGTGCCCATAGGTTTACTTAACACACATCTACACACACACACACGCGCGCGCACACACGCTGCAAAATAAACAAGCTACAGCAGCTGCTGCAAGAATATTGCGCATACGCCTCATATGACGGCACCAACTAAAAAATTCATTTATATATATAATAAAAAATAAATATATACATATAAAGCAGCCTAGTCATGGCTAATGTGTGAGAATTCAGCAAATTCTTGTGTATATGTGTGTGTGAGTATATGTATATTGTGCGCGTCCCGTTTGCTGTATATAAGCAGCTATCTATGTATTTGTAGCAAATAAGTACTTCATGTATATATAATGTATACTGTATGTATATAGGGGAGTCTCTCTTTCTCTCTTTATGTATTGAGTCTTATGCAAGAGCCAAAGTAAATTGTCAGCGTGACCGGAAACAATTCGCCGGGTTCAGAGCTCTAGCAATGACTTGTTGAAAGCAATGCCTAAACTAATATACAACAACACTCTCTCTCTCTCTCTCTCTCTCTTTTTCTGTCTCTGTCTCTGTCTTTTTCTTTGTTTCTGGCCATTCTATCTCTTTTTCGGTGTACAGGTGCTGTATGATGGCAAACTATCGAATGCCATTGTCTTCATGTACAATCCAGTGGCAACCGATGGTCAACTGTGTTTGCAATCTTCCCCCAAAGGAAATGTTTCATATTTTGTACACACGCCGCACGCGCTCATGCTGCAGGTAAGTAAACATGCCCCTGCCCCCTTCATACAGCCCTTGACCCTCTAACACCTGTGAGCTATAGAAAGGTCCTATGTCCTGTGTAAACGGCAGGAGTATACAACGAGTAAATCCCTCAGCCTTATTACGTATACGTAAATGTACACAGCTTGCTCTGTTGCTAGTGGAACTCAGTTCAGTTCAGTTCAGTTCAGCTCAGTTCAGTTGAGTCCATTTCATACAGCGCGTTGAGGTCCCGAATCACACCAATTCCAAAAACCAACACAACACAACACACACAACACACACACACACACACACACATGTCGGGGGCACCACATAAATTTCGGGCAGCATTTTACGACTCAAGCGCATGCTTTGGCATTTCTTATTAGGTACAACAATCTTAAGTCGCCCTCCTGCCCCAGCACCCCCCCTTGCCACTGCTGTTCTGTTCTGTTTCCCGTGCGTTCCAGAGCCTTATCGGGCTCAGCAGCGGTCTGTCGTTGAATTTTTTTATTTTTTTTCTTTGGGAGGGGTTTGCGGCCCTGGCAACAAAATTATTCAATAAATTTTGTAGTAATTTCTTGTACAAACAACACAAATCATAAAAGAGCAGCCAACAACCAGCAAGCAGCAAACGACAAGGCGCCGAAATGACCCCAAGACAAGCCTCAACAATAGCAACAAACATAACAACAACAACAACGACTATTCTCATAGGCAGCACAGTGTTGCTTAAGTAATGCGATATTCAAAACGACAGTAACAAAAAAAAAAAAAATACCATTTGATCGATAAATATTGAAAGAAGGGCAGAATTTATGCATAGAACTTTGGCAAATGGCAAGTGGAAAATGTAAAAATTCGTATCAATAGACAATCTGAGTTTGTGGTGCGAAAGCAATCGCTATGAAAATGTTCTCTCCCAAAAGTAATCAACTAACTGGTAATTTATCGATACCTTTTGAAGCGCGACATCAGCTTAGGCAAATCAGAATATTTGTTAATCATACAGAAATGTTTCACGCAACACAAATGTAATTAATTTGCAAATATTTGCGAATTGCGAATATATATTGTCGATATCTCGCTTTTCGCATAACAATTAGTATCAGCCACTTAATTAGCCAACATATTAGCAGTCAGATGTAAATAAGCCGGTTGCATGTTTGAGATTCCAAGTGGCTTTTGAGGTTATTCCAACTCATATCACAGAAGTGTTCACAAATGCAACAACACTCAGATAAGCAAATTGCCTAAACAATTGAGGCCAACCTGTGGGTTTATACGTACATATATGTTGTCGGTGTGTATTTATAATTAATATGTGTTTCTATTGGTATTCGCAGGATGTCAAGGCTGTGGTCACTCATTCCATACACTGCACACTCAATTCGATTGGTGGCATTCAGGTGCTGTTTCCGCTCTTCTCGCAGCTCGACATGGCGCACGAGGGCATTAGCGATATTAAACGGGATCCAACGCTCTGGTAAGTATATATTTATACACATATACATATACATATATATACAGCTGCGCTCATAATAATAGTAGTGAAAAAACATTCTCAGACGGGAAGCCAATGATTTTTTAGTTTTGCCGAATTGAATTTTTCGCTCATATTAAAGATTTTGAAGATGCCTCGATGTGATCATTGAATGCTTTAAGAAGCAGCACTATTATTTTGACCGCAACTGTATACATATATTGATATTCGCATTTATTAAGCTGGAGTCTCGATCAGCATTTAATTTTCTTTCATTTCCATTTGTTTGATTTGCATTCATCTAGCATTGAATTGTCATCATCTTTTTATTGATGTTTCTTTGCCATTCGTTCCCATTGCTGTTCAATGTGCCATTCTCATTCGTTTCCTTATGGTATATTTTTAAGCTCGAAACTGTTGGGCTTCATCTGCGAACTAGTGGAAACATCGCAGACGGTGCAACAGCACATGATACAGAATCGTGGCTTCTTGGTGATATCCTTCATGCTGCAGCGATCGTCGCGTGAGCATTTGACCCTGGAGGTGCTCGGCTCGTTTCTCAATCTAACCAAATATCTGGTCACCTGCCTGTCGGCCAACAGTGACTTGCTGCTGAAGCAGGTGAGTGGGCGCAAGGCCCAAAATAAAACATAAACAATAAGTGATTTGATTTGTGCATCTGTAAAAAGCATTTAGTGGCGCATTAGAACTACTATCTGCATAACTGCTGCTCTATGTTAGTGATTAAGCCATGAAACATGACGTCAATGTCATCTAAAGTTAACTCTATATAAATGTATTATGTATAACTCAACTATGAAGCGATAGCATGCGATTGACATTTGAGATTTGAGGACAGCAAAGTCGATTTTGGCAAGCATGTTTTACAATTTTGTATTTGTCTGTATTATGATTGCATATAGTTATAGTTATGTATCTCTCTCTCTCTCTCTCTATCTATCCATCTACTTATCTATCTAACTATATGTATATATATATATACATGTGATATTTGTATGTACTAAGTCTGTATAGTAATTATGTATATTATGTATAAATATATGTCTGTTTGTAAGTTCGATCTAAGTTCGCGTCGCAAATCGATTGCATGACCCAATGCCTCGCGCTGTGAGTTTCTTTATATATGATGCATATATGTATATTGTTTTTTTTGTTTTGTGTATTGTTTTTTTTGTTTTTTGTCTTTTTGTCTACTCTTTTTTCAGTTCATCAGACTCACTCCCTGCGCCCCCATCAGCCGCGCCCGTGTTTCGCATTGTTCAAATAAGTGTACATTCCCCAATACACACGCCTGCCCGGTCTATTCGAGTCGAGTTCTGTAAACATTGGGGCACACCATTTATTTAACGAACAAAAAAAAAAAACAAAAAAAAAATGAACGAAAACTTTTCCCATGCGTTTTTTTTTTGTCACTTTTTCATCATTTTTGTGGCATGTTAAACACCTTGGCAAACAAATTTTAAATGATATGCGAAACCCGTTCGCCCCTCATCCCTTCTCTGTCTCTCTCACACTCACATTATATTTTTTTCTTTCTCTTTCTCTCTCTCTCTCTCTATATATATCTCTGTGTCGCTCTCGCTCTGTGTGCGTGTGTGTATATACATTTGTCTGCACTCTGTTTGCGTTTGTGTGTGTCGTTCTTGTGTTTATGGTGTTGACGATTGCCGCCACTATCTCTCTCTCTCCCTCTCTCTCTCTCTCTGCCTCTCTCTGTCTCTGGTCCTGCCATTTCTGCCGCACAGTTGAACACGGGCCTGCGTAATCCTTTTAAAAAAGTAAACACACAAATACTGTAGCATATCAAATACACAATTTTCTTGTATTAAGTTCATGTACTCGCTATACTCGTAACCAGTTATCCGTTACCAGGTACCCATTACCCATTACCCGTTTACCCATTACCCGTTTACCCGTTTACTTGGCATTCCATTACAAATGTAATTCTCTAAAGCCGACACCCATTTACCCCAACTCCTACACTAATCCTTTTCCATATATACAATATTTATGATATATATACTTAGTCAGTTATGTGCCATGCAATAAACCCATTTTGTGTTTATTTTTCTGTTTCATTTTTTTTATTTGTTTGTTTGCGTTTTCTTCTCCGTTATTTGCCTAACACACGATAAACCCACTACCGCAAATGCCTGGCAACTAATGCAGGATAGAGCAGCTCTGAAAACTACTTCACTCGGCATGTTTACCCCTTTTATATATATTTTCCCGGTTTCCGTCTATCCGCTTCTCGGCATAAAAATAGCTTGATAAATTGTATTTCTGAGAATTCTTTAAATCAAAATCTCTACCGAAATGTCTCGTTAATTTATAATCATTTTTTAGTCCTTATCAAGAAATAAATTTACAAAAGATTCCACAACAAAGTCTACAATTTTAATGAAAAGGGAATTTTGACCACTTCTTCTCTCAAATATTAATTCACAGAACTACAATAAATAGGTATATCAAGTATAATTATATATAATATGTGTACATATATTTGCTGATAGCACAGGTCATAAATCCCAGTGCCAAGTACTTTCAGGGAGACATCGGTTATTGGGTTCGGTGTGACCGAATTTAATTATAATTTCACTTTGCTTTGACTGTAACTGTTGCATGCTTGCTGTGTGGCACTGTACGCTTAAAAGCTACCTGCGTTTAATTGGCCAGCAAATAAAATTCGGTTTATTGTTTTTTTTTTTCTTTTATGCATTGCTTTGCTCTGATTCCGCACTGAGATTTTGTGATGATTCTGTGCACTCTCGTTACACAAAAAGCTTTCGCCTTTCTTTGCCCAAGCCAAAATTAAGCAAAAATTGGAATGTCTGTTGTATTTTGTTTTTTTTGTTGTTGTTTTTTTTTATATATATATATCCAGCTGATTTGCCAAATTATATAGAGTCTAAAAAAAAAACACTCTCCAAAGAGAATTATATAATGAACGTGCTTTTGAAATAAATGTATTAACAACTAAAGACTAAATTCTTCTACTTTGTCTGCTCTCTTACACTCTGCTCTCTCTCTCTCTCTCTCTCTCTCTCTTTTTCTCACCCACTTTTGATCCAACTTGTTATATATTCTTTGGTCTCAATATTCTGTTTATCACACATACACCCACACATACACTCACACACACACACACACACACACACCCCATGTTCCATATACACAATGATCTGCGCCCGCTTTTCTCCTCATCGAACAAAATCCACACATTTTCAATCTGCTTCAAATTCTTTACTGAACGTTTCAATCAATCGAAATTGTAACATCTTGAAACGCTTCTTTCAATCAATCGACAAACACACAAAAACTACAACAATAACAACAACAACTACAACAACAACTGAACTAAAACCCAATTATCAAAATAACTACAACAGTTCTACCAGGTGAAGCTCAATTCTCAAATTTCTCTACTCGTATCGTATACTCCTAATAATAAATGTTCGTTTTCGTTCAATTCCGTTCCGTTCCGTTTTATTCCATTGTTTCTATGTGTGCGTGTATTCGTATTCGTATTCGTATTCGTTTCGTTTGTCTTAAAATGTTGAATACAGCAATTTGTACAGTTGCCTCATTTTCATATTGTTCCACTTTACTGTTATATCCTGTTATCAAGTTGTTAGCTCATCAAGCATAATTTCTATCAAGTATATATAGACTTAATACATGATGTTCCATTCCACATCATTTCACTTCATTGTAAATACATTAATTTGTCAACATATGCAGCAGCTCATTGAAAAACCCTTGTTTCAACTTGACAATCAAAGTTGTCATATTTGACTTGTACAATTGTTTCATTTGCCATTTCATTTCACATCGTTCCACTTCATTGTAATATATATTCATCCATTCTTATTCTTACAGTATAAAATCGAAGTAGCTTAGTCTCTCAATTGTAGACATGTCTCAGCCATTAAGCCTTCTTTCAGTGTGTATATAACATTAATGAATAATTTTCTTTTAATTATAGTTATTTTCTATTGCTGATATCATCGGAAACATATAATATTAAGTTTTCCATATTTTTTTCCATCTTCCATCATCTTTTATGGATTCACATAATTTGTTTCGTTGACTTTAAGGCTACCAATAAAATCTGAATAAATTGCGATGCGTAACTTCATTTTTTTTTGCATTATCCGTTTCCCAAAAATGTGCCGGACTATTTTTCATAAATATATATGTGTAATTTCTTCCTCTTTTTTTCTGAATCTGTTGCGATTCTGGGGTTGTTTCGTTGTTTTTCGAATGTCGGTTTACCGTTGCCGTGGTGCCTGATCATTGTACACTCGTGCACAGTTTTTAATTGGGAAACTTCTGCTGCTGCTGCTGCTGCTGCTAGTCCCACACGGAGCATTGTTATTGTCGCTGCGGGCATTGGGACCAACAACAAATGCAGCAAATGCAGCTACCAGCATCATTCGAGCCTCGTCCAAAAATTTCACCCTCTAGTTGTATATACATATGTATGTATGGAGATGCATAGAGAGTGTTGTGGATTGAATTCAAGTTGTGGCAACCAGTGTACCCTTTGAAAGTGGCTATAAAGGGTATCATGAAGTTGTGCACACATAACCGAAAGCTATGTAATGGGCAGAACGAAGAACTAAAGAAATGTATATATATATATTCTTGACCAGGACCACAGCAGAGTCTATCTGTCCGTCCGTCTTTATAATATTACGGATCTCAGACGAATAAGAGTTTTTAAATATAAGTTCTCGTTTATTTTATCGATAACTCCGGCCTCCGGAAATATCGATACATGTCCATTTCGGATATTGAAAAATTAAATGTAAAGGATGCATCTTTTAATAGGTTACGAGTTGGGATTAGGGTATCTCCTAGTCGATCTCTCTGACTATCTGTTGTTTATATCGCAACACTTTGATAACTAAAATTTTGGGAAACAATAAGTGAAATCTGCACGCAGAAAGTTTAGAATCCAATTGAAAATTAATTCAATTTAGTTTATTTCATATTTCTGCTGGGCACATTCCTAAGCTGGAGAATATACATTATTTATTTGGGTTTATTTGGAATTGCGAACTTTTTTGTATACCCAGAGTACGTTCGTATTATCAATTTAATGTATGTTGCTTGTATGACCTGTTTCTGTGCCAGTCTCTCAGTAAGTTCTGGGCTGCCCAAGTATCTCTGAGTGTAGCTAATTTTCGGTATAATTTCAAGGTCTCTTGCCCACGCTGATTGCCGATTGCATTTATGTTTTTATTAACTTTAAAATGCTGGATCAGTATGGTTCTATAAATTTGCTGGCGTTCGCATAGCTAACTTAGTTTTTGTAGCTAAATTAAACTTAATTTCATGTCTTAAATGTAGTATAAAATCATGCATATTAATCATCATAGTATTTTAACGTGATCTAACTTAATATACATAATATTTACTTAGTACTAAGCTTACATTTATATACGATCATCATTATAATTATAATTTCTAGTGTAATTAGTTAATCTACAATGAAGAAGAAGAATATTTGTTTAAGCTTAGCCTTAGTTATCGTTCTCGTTTTGGAATGCTGTTTAATAATGAATGAAAAAAAGAAAACTAAAAAGAAAACTGTTGATTACTTTGTTTGTTAATTTCTCGTTTTATGTTTTATGACAAACGTTGATAAACATTGATTGCTGTTTGCTGCATGTGTTACCGTTATCCAATATATATACTACCAATCCTCATAAAAAAAACTATATATATATATATAAATATATATATGTAAACAAACCCTATCCAAATCAATCGACAACAACAACAACAATCGACATGAAATTCATGTAAACGTATGTATTAAAATCAAAACAAATCATTTGTTCTTGCGCTACTCTCTTTCTATCTATCTATCTATCTATCTATCTATCTATCTATCTATCTCTCAAACTAACCTAACCATCTCTCTAACTAATCTGCAAACTATCTTAAACTCTCACACACCAACACACATCCATATCCACATCCACATCTTGAACCTTCAAATTCTGCAATTTCGTTGAGTCTGCGATAATTGAGGACAGCATAAGTTACTTGACTAATTTGTCGCAGTTGTTCTGTTTCTCGTTTCTCACGTGGCAGCTGCTCGATCATGTGCTCTTCAATCCCGCCCTGTGGATCTATACGCCAGCGAATGTCCAGGCGCGTCTATACTCCTATCTGGCCACCGAGTTCCTCAGCGATACTCAGATCTACAGCAATGTGCGACGCGTTAGCACCGTTCTGCAAACGGTGCACACCCTCAAGTATTATTATTGGGTCGTCAATCCGCGTGCGAAGAGCGGCATAATACCAAAGGGTTTAGGTAAGTTCCCAATACTCATCACTCCTCGCTCAACTCATGCTGATGCAGCGAATCACAATCAATCAATTCGATTTCAGATGGTCCGCGACCGGCTCAAAAGGATATTTTGGCCATACGCGCCTACATTCTGCTGTTCCTCAAGCAGCTAATCATGATTGGCAATGGCGTTAAGGAGGATGAATTGCAAAGCATACTCAACTATCTGACGACCATGCATGAGGTGAGTGTCAATTAAGCACACACAATTGAGACTTCAATCGTAAAGAACTAAATCAATTGAATTAACAATTTATAAGTAAACCAAACTGTCTTAAAATAACCATTCAAACTTTATACTTAACGTCAGCTTTTATGCTTATTGTTCACTAATAAGATCAATGACTTAAAAAGAGGATGGCCATACACTTAAAGCCTTAGGTTAGAAAGTGAACAATTTGTTGAAATAAGCCTGAGTTAAGCAATTAAACTAACTAACTTTTAACATATAATTTTAAAGCAAATTTTTGAAAGAAGAAGTTGATATCAAACTAAATGCGTTATATATATATATATATCTTGTTCTGTTTAGGACGAGAATCTGCACGATGTTCTGCAGATGCTCATCTCACTGATGTCGGAGCACCCGAGCTCAATGGTACCTGCCTTCGATGTGAAGCACGGCGTCCGCAGCATCTTCAAGCTGCTGGCGGCCGAAAGTCAATTGATACGCCTCCAGGCGCTCAAGCTGCTCGGCTTTTTCCTCTCGCGCAGCACACACAAGTAAGCGAAGCCGCCTGAATAATGACCCTTTTCCAGACCATTCACACAGCCCACCCACATACAGCTGCGGTTAAAATAATACCAGTGCCCAAAACACATATATTTTTTTGGAATATATGAAAAATATGAACACTTAAGGTTTAGTTAAAAAGGGTTTTTGTTTTGCAGTTTTGAATCTTTGTGTCATATTGAAGATTTTCGATTGTTTCGATTTGCTCACCATAAAATTAGTGATATTTTTTGGTGAAAAAATGCTTTGAGAAGCAGCGCTACTATTATTTTGACCGCAACTGTATACACATGCTTGCATATTCATACGTATATACATATATATATATATATATGTATGTAGATGTAGACGTACGTGGGTAGACCTAAATCTGCTCACTCCTCACTCCGTTGCCATTTGACAAAGTGCCGTGTAATGCACATGCTCATAAATTTTTGCATGTTTCTGGTTTCTCCTCCCCGCGTTTGTGCCACTCTCGCCTCGCCGCTATAGGCGTAAGTACGATGTCATGTCGCCACACAATTTGTACACGTTATTAGCGGAACGTCTGCTGCTGTACGAGGAGTCCCTGTCCCTGCCCACATACAATGTGCTCTACGAGATTATGACGGAGCACATCTCACAGCAGATATTGTACACACGCCATCCAGAGCCGGAGAGTCATTACCGCCTCGAGAATCCCAGTAAGTAATCCTTTTTAGCTTTAAGACCAACCAACCAACCAACCAAGCAAGCAGACAGGCAGGCAACCAACCAGCCAACCAACCAACCAAGCAACCAAGCAGCCTTTCCCCCCTCAAAGTCGTGTCTTGTTCATATTTTAAAGTTTTGTGAAGAAGCTAGTTGCCATCTTTGACCCGTTGGGATTAATTTATTATGCGATGCGACGATAGACACAACCGTAGCTACGCCAAGTCTGCATTTAACACTAGGCTCATTAATTATGAGACATGAATACGAAAAACAAGTGATAGTTTGGCTACAAATGGTTGCAAGTGTCAAGAGACTAAGAAGGTCCCATTCTATCTATAACAACAGGTGCAAATATTTGTGCTGAACTCAGTCCTGATATATATTCCGAGTCATGAGTCAAGAAGTCATAGTTTTGCTAGCTATTAACTGTGAATGTAGATGTCAAAGAGAGTCTAACACGTTTATAATTTGAACATAACTTGAACATTTCGGTTGCACAGTGATACTGAAGGTGGTTGCCACATTGATACGGCAGTCGAAGCAGACGGAGTCGCTGATCGATGTGAAGAAGCTCTTTCTGCAGGACATGACGCTGCTATGCAATAGCAATCGGGAGAATCGTCGCACCGTCCTCCAGATGTCCGTGTGGCAGGAGTGGCTCATCGCGATGGCCTACATCCATCCGAAGAATACGGAGGAGCAGAAGATCAGCGATATGGTCTACTCCCTGTTCCGTATGCTGTTGCATCATGCGATCAAGCACGAGTACGGCGGCTGGCGCGTCTGGGTGGACACCCTGGCGATCGTTCACTCCAAGGTCTCCTATGAGGAGTTCAAGCTGCAGTTTGCCCAGATGTATGAGCACTACGAAAGGCAGCGCACAGACAACATTACCGATCCTGCCCTGCGTCAGGCGCGACCCATTAGCACCATCAGCGGCTGGGAGCGCGAGGAGCTGCAACAACAGCAGAATGGTCCAGTTGCCTCACAACAACAACAGCAGCAGCAGCAGCAGCAGCAACAGTTGCCGGCGATTAAGGGTGCTGTGTCGGTAGCCTCGCTGGAGGATGTGCCCGCCGTGCAGGAGGAGGAAGTCGAAGAGCTGGAACTGCATCATCTCGATAACGTGGATATGGAACTAACCGGTGAAGTCGCTGAAGTACTGGCAAACAAGGGCAGCGAATCGTGCGGCTGTGCCACAAACGGCGAAGCAGCCGAAACGCCACCAGCTGCAGAGCAGGTAGTACAGGAACCGGAGCAGGAGCCGGAACCCGTCAATAAATCAGTAATCGCAAACATTTCCGATGTGTACAACGAGCAAATCAAAACGGACGAGGCAATGCAGAGTGCCTGCAATGGCCTCAGTTCCACGACGAGTGCCAGTTCCGAAACAGGTGGTGGCCAGACAGCGCTCAAGGAGACGCTGCAAATAGGTGATGATCTCGAGGAACTGGAGCTGGCAACGGCCAAGGATGCCCTCGATGTGGAACAGCATGTGAAACAGGTGCTGTTGGCATCCGAAGCGGCACTGAATGACTGCAAAATGGCTGTGGATAGTGTGCTGCAGGAGGCCGAGGATTCCTCATCGGTGCTGAAGGACGAGGAAATCGAGCTGGCTGTCAATGAGGTGGTGCAGGGTGTGCTCAACTGTGAGAAGAAGACAACGGCCCAGGACAATGTGAGTCTGCTCAACAGCAAGAATCTGCTCAACAATAACAACAACAACAGCGAAGCGGAAAAGGAGAAGACCGAACAGCAAAAGGAAGTGAATGCCAATGAGCTGCTGACCAGTGTCAAACCAGCAACAACCACAACAACACTTGAGAAAGAGCAACAGCAGCAGCAGAAAACAGCAAATAATCAAAAGACTGAAGATGCCGACAACAAGCTGAACAACAACGAGAAGCTCAACGAGGCAAACAGCAACAGCAACAGCAACAGCAGCAGCAGCAGCAGTAGCAGTCAGGAGCCAGGTGCTGGGGATCAAGAGATGAGCTCATCGTTGAGCACCACAGCGGAGGAGCTGACGACATCGATGACAAACGCTAGTCCCTTGGACGAGACGATGGCGACAGCGACACCAGAGACTGAGGAGGATGTGGTTGCCACAGCGGTGCGCGATATTGTTGAGCAGCTCATCGACAAGGTGATCGATGCAGCCGAAGCGGAAGCAAAAACCGCAAATGCTAATGGAAATGCAAACGAAAGCGAAACTGAAACCAAAATCAAAACAATAACCAAAACCAAAACTGAAACCAATAACAATGAGCTACCCGCAGAGCTGCTGCAAAAGGAAGCGACGAAGCAGCTGGTGCCTGAGACAAAGACGGAAACAGAAACAAAGACAGTGGCAGTGGCAGCGGCAGTGGCAGCCACAGCAACAGAGGCAGCATCAAAGACAACCGAGCCCCAAGAGACTCAAGCAGATCAGGAGCAGTCGAGTGTAGCCGCTGCCGTCGCCGAGGAAATCGTACACGAGGTTGTGGAGGCAGCTTTAGATCTAGCCCAAGCCGCAACCGAAACCCAAAA